TGGCCCTAAATCAACTTATTGGGGAGCCAAAGCAAGCTTTGGGCTCAGCTTATTTAGGCAGTTCACACCTGGATTTGAGCTATTATTTCCACATTCTTCAGTTTCCACATGGCATGAACAGTATTCAAATTTCCAAATTCCCAGCATGTCCCTAATAGGGGAGTACGAAAATAGCTAAGATTTGATCACTAAGATCTAAGATGTCATGACCTGGATGTGTTGTATTAGTGAATCTGAGTCCTACACAGCAGACTTCCTGGAGTAGATATAAAGGTAGACCTAAGGGGGAGATTTGTTGTTCCCATGAAAACCAAGATGAAACTGGGTGAGTGGAAAGATTAACAGGCTATGCCCAGCCAAGGGATATAAATGACCCTGAGATGCACTTGTCATGGCAAGTGACAGCAGAGCATATGCTAACCAAGCTGACTAGAAGCCAAGAACACCAGAGAGCAGCACCAGATATAAATCTAGGCCTCCCTTCCCCACTGATTTGGGCCTCGTAAGTAAAAGAAGGGAAAACAGGATTAAAATCTGAATGACAGAGCATTTCCCTAAAGAGGAAATTCAAAAGAAGTTATTTGAATCACTGGAAACCCATTGAGTAATTATGTCTTGATATAAGAACCCAGGTAATGCAATAATTAAAGGTATTTGGTCACTATAATTTTTTTCTAAAGAGAAACAGGAAAACTATTTACATACCAGTTTCCATAAACATGCAAAGAATAAACAAAACACGTACGTGTCAAGGTGGGCAAAAATGTTACTACAGTTTAAATAAAAGCCCTGCATATATTCTTTATTTTCTCATTCTGGAAATGTGTTGCTGTCTAGTTGATTAATTGAAATGGGTGAAAGCTCTACTGTAGTAGTGTCTGTTACATTTGTAACACCTAGTCCTAAATTTGATATTTGATAGCCCTATATTTGATAGCCAAACTATCAAATTTTCATTAAATGTGTTGCCTAGGAGGAACTATGTTTTAGTGTTTGACGAAGAAAGTGTTTTCTCCCTTAAGGTGATACATTGTGTCTGTTATACAGGGTGTCCCCATAATCTCCACACAAAGGAAAAAATTTGTAATGAATATTTTGTAAATAAAGGTACATTTAGCTATAATTTCCCATTTTCCCTGTATCTCCAGATTTTCCTAAATTCCGGTTGGACAAATGGAATCAATTGGATTTATGGCACATACACTATAAAAAAACATATTTTGAAATTGTGTTTTACCCTCTCTCTGCTCATCAGGATGGAGCTTCTGTGGAAGTTAAAAGCAATTACAGAGAATTTAAAGGCTGCATTTTCGAATTTTCTTTATATTATCTGGTGGTAGGGCACATTCATTCGTAACTCTTACTATGATGACTACTGTCATCTCTTGAGTACTTACCAGAAAACAGCCACTTGTATACTAAGCATTTTAAAATGGTTACTTATATTCATTTCCAAAGAAAAACACAGTTTATTGAACACTTGCATTGTCCTTATGATACAGATATTATTGTTTATTTCTTACAGATAAAAAGTCTATAACTCATAGGAATTAAATGATTGTTTTCAAGGATACAGCAAGAGTTTGGTTTCAAATACAAATATTATTATTTTAGATATTTCTGGGCTGGCGCTGTTAACACCCCAAACCATATAGGTTTATTAAGCTGGTTAGTGAGTAACTATAATATGGTTATTAATAATTTGTTAATGAGACAGTTGCAAACTTTATGAATATAAAATATACATGACAAAGATACATATGTAAATATTTTATACTGTGAAGACTCACATGGAGAACTCAAAACTATTATAATTTCCAGGCAAAAATGATAGAGTCAGGTAAAAAGTTGATAGTGGTTGATGAGATAAAATAAAGTCAGAGCTATGACTTCCTTTCCTTGCATGCACTTCTCATTCACAGCATATTCTCGAAGTTGTAATTTATATTCATGGAATAAATTAATAAAATTTTGTAAGATTTTAAAAACCAGGTCTCCTTCAAAGTATCATTGCAAGCTTCTTTGATGTTCCTTGCAATTGATTGTAGGAAAATTTGATTTTTGAGATATTTAAAAAGTCATGGAGATGATGTTAATATTTGGCCATGGGAGGCATTGGGAATGGGAGGAGAAAATGAAGGGTGACTCAGAGATGTCTGGAATATATACATACTTGCAAGGGTGTGGCAAGCATGATAAAAAGGATTGAGGCAGAGGATCGAATGACAGGACAGAATATTTTAAAGGGCACTTTGTGGTGATCTCCCTACACCTGCCATGCCCCTACCTCAGGGTGAATGGAAATTGGTGATATTGAAGCTGCCTGGCTGTTAATCTGAAGCATCCTCTTCTCCTCTTCATGATAAATATGGATGCTGAGGCTGTCCTGGATCTGGAAAGGAGAGGAGTAGGGAGGGTTACTCTCCTGCTCTCTGAGGGATTTCAATTTAGATGGAAGGAGCAGAAAAGCATGTCATAGCCACATTCTCAAATCCAAATTTGCCTGCAATAATGCTAATAATTTTAATATCTGATACCTACATGTAGTCCTTAATTGAATTAGGATCCAGAAAGAGAGGGATTCAATGACCTCTTTAAGCACCAACAATGGAGAACCCAAAATATCCCAAGACTTTAACAAAAATAATATTTATTATAATAATTATTATGACTGCTACTGCCTCCACCGCAACCCTTGTTGAATAAGTACTATCTGGGTCAGAGATGCAGCATAAAACTAAATTCTACTCAGATAGTTTAGCTGACGGGAAATTCAATGAAAAGATGGAGCATATTGGCATGGTTAAAGAAATCAGCCAAGGAAGTTGACACACCTGGAGGCTAACTGCAGAAAACAATTTCCATGGGCAGTGGCTACTGTCATCAGAGAACTGGAGCCAGGAAAAAAAAAAAAATCCCTTGTCACTTTCTTCTCCAACACAGACCCCAGCAGGAGTTCTCCTTTGAGGGATGCGGGCACTCTAGCACATATTTCCGCACATATCTAGCATATATTCCTGTTTATATTGAAGCAGGAAGGGAATGAGAAAGAAATTGAGTTACTTCTCCCTCCTTCCCACTTTAGACTTCATGCTGGTTCCTTTCATTCAAAGTCAGCTGGAAACCAGACACCAAAAAGCTCTATTCTTGCAATAGGGGTTAAACTCCAGGTGGGCAATGTAAGGTGAGAAGACAAGACAATAGATCTGAATGGAAGTAGAGTAGTAAACAGAGAATCACCAGCACACCAATATTATCTATAACCCACAATGTTTCATAGATATGTATTATCATCCCTATTAGAAAGATGAGGGTACGAGGCTCAAAGTCAGTAAATAACTAGTCCAAACTCAGCAAAAGTTAATTGATCATGCAATGGTTTTCCACACTCTAAAACTTTCTCCCTATATTGTTGACTATTCTATCTTACATGCTGTACACAAAGAAACTTAATAACCGCCCAAGACAAAATATATTAATTAATTCAAAAATAAAGTAAAATAAATAATGAATCCCATTGCTTCATTATTCTGGGGAGATTTGACTCCCTCATGACCTTGGGTAGTGGGCAAAACTGATGTCCTCAGTGAGCTTAGGATTTTCAGATGAATAAAAACAAAATAATGGCTCTTCATAATTCGAATGAATTTTTCCTAGAAATAATTGAACCATAGGGATTTAGTCCTTAGGTGACAGTTTTGTTATAAACTCTTCGGGTTCTTCATCTTCGTGCTGTCATCATGAAATCACTCATCTTTCTCAGGTAGGATTAGACTTTTTAATATTTTGGAATCTAGAAATAATTATTTTATTCAATAAAAATAAATTGAGGCAAAATATATTCTAATTAATTAGCCAACGTCTCTATGAAAATGCTACTATTCTCAGAGTATAGGTACTTACAGAATGGTGTATACAGAGTGTTTACTTAATGGAATGTGAACTAGACCAAAGAGAACATTAGCTTCATCAGTACTTATTGACTGCCTATAATTGGGAAAGCACTAATCTAGGCACCGTTGAGTCTACAACCAGATTAGGTAACATCCTTGTCCCTAAAGGAGCTCACACTTTGATGTTGAGTCTTGTTGTAGACCAGACCTGGATCATTCATCAAATAATACTAGTAGTCACAGCTTATTGTATGTTTACTATTAATACATGCCAGACACATTTTTAAAAACTGTCCTCTGAATTAACTCACTCATGTGGAGAGGATTGGTGTTATTAATTAAATTTTGTGAATGAGAAAAGGGAAGCACAGAGAAGTCAGTCACTTGCCGTAGGCCACACAGCTGGGAACTAGAGGAACCTGGATTTCCATCCAGGAAATATGACCGCAAACTCTCAGCGACTGTTATACTCTGCTGACACTCAATAATCAACCACGCTTACTCTCTCACCTCATGAAGAAAAAAAAAAAAAGGTGTAGTATTAAGTAATCTTTCTGACTCTTTTTGAGTCAATGCTACTCTTTATCATCATAAATACTGAATCATGTAATGTTCTGTGCCCCCTTCATGAAGAACGGGCTGTTTTTAGATTTATCATCTATATTAATTATTTAAAGTTAATGAAAAATACGTTTTATGAAGGAAAATTTATTTTTTCACTTCAAATCAAACCATGAGCACACGCCAAGGAAGCACCACCCTTGTTAAAGCCAAAGACCAGCCTTCTGGACTCTCACATAAACACAGCAAGCGTTTATGTGAGGATGTCTCAGGGGAAGGCCAATGTCAAGAGGGCAAAGTCTCAGCTATCCCCAAACCTCTTATGTCCACTTGCGAAAGTTTCCCTCTGAGATGTCCTTGCTCAAACCATAAGGACGTTGTGTTCTTTTTCTTAGAGGTAAGGCTATTACATAAAGTAATAGTCCAGTTAAATTGTCTGGACTGCTCATTGCTTGCAGTTCCCCACAGTAAAAAGATGGCGAAATTAATTATTTTGAATATTGATTAATATTTCAATAAATAAAGGCTAATTAAAATACTATTTTAGCGCCAAAAGAATATTTTCATATTTGGCAATTATTATTAAAATTATTATTAAAATTCAGTTGGACCCTATGAGCTTAAAAAAAAGATAAGCACAAAATAATTATGATTCCATTGATTTAGGATTACTTGCTTGGCCACTGAATTCAAAATCCCTACACACAGAATGGGATAACAGAATGTAGAAGATTTTTGAGTGCTGAATTTACAAAGTGCCTTGAACAGTGACCTGTTTCCAGTGTTGGTGTGGTAGTTATTAAAAATCTACTGACATCGTTATATTGTCAGCTGTCGAATTCTGATATGTGTCATCAGAGGAGAATGTCAGTCTTTCCATAATGGTCTTCATGGTCACATTTATCCCGCATAAATGTTGGGAGATGTTATAATGAGATAGAGTTAAAACAAAATCATTTTTATTTGAGGATATGTTTCTCAACCAACTTTTCATAATTCTTCTCTTCCTCTGGAGCCTTTTGATGCACTATTTTTTTCCTTAATTGTCCCCCCATAAACATACCATCAATACAAGCATAATCGTATACCTGCATACATATGCATATTATTGATGTACTTTGTGTATGTGTGGATATATATACACACATATGTATATGTGTGGATATATGTGTGTGTGTGTGTCTTTTATGCATAAAAATATTTAAGATTTACTGCTGTTCCATAAGAGCCAACTTTTGCCTTAGTTGGGCAAAAATATACAAAAAAAAGAAGATTTTGATCTAGGTTTTAAAAGTTAAGAATGATTTGGTGATGGTGAGTACATGTGGTTATATGAGGGCCACCTGAGGTAGACTAAAGTGGGGAACATGGGCATTCAGAATAAGATGAGGGAACAGCTTGAAAATGATCTTGTTCAGAGGGGCAGGTAAAGAGATCCTTGTAATATATATCTATATATAAATATAGATATAGATATTCATCATATGTCAGTTCCACTTCCCTGTGTTCTCTCAGCTTTTAAAACTATAGATGAGTTTCAAAGGTTGATACTTTATATGCCACACCCAAAGGTGTATTGTAAAACAAAGGATTATAATTTTAAAGGAAAGCAATGTTTACAGTCACATGTACAAGGAAAGTGTAAGTGAACACATAGAAAAAAGACTTGAAAAAAGATAAAAGATAAGCCTTTTCAAATATGAAAAGACTGGCAGAAAATCGTTTAAAATATGTTTGCCTTCATATATGAGGAGCTCTATATTAACTTAGATGTTTAAAATATCAATTGCATGCTTACAAGACTGTTTCTTTATGACATGTATATTTACAAGTTTGGAAGGAGAGGAAGAAATATCATATGACAGCGTGGAGGTAATGGATATATGACAAAAGCCATACGCATTTTTTTTTCCTTTTCTTTAGCCCTCATTAGAAGCCAAACAAACACAATGTTAAAGAAAAACTATACAACAGTGACTGAGTTTATTCTCCTGGGACTGACAAATAGATCTGAGCTGCAACCTGTCCTTTTTGTGGTATTCTTAGTCATCTACCTTATCACGGTCATCGGCAATGTGAGCATGATTCTGTTAATCAGAAGTGACTCAAAACTTCACACTCCGATGTACTTCTTCCTCAGTCACCTCTCCTTTGTAGATCTCTGTTACGCCACCAACGTCACTCCTCAGATGCTGGTTAATTTCTTATCCAAGCGAAAAACCATTTCTTTCATTGGCTGTGCTATACAATTCCACTTTTTCATTGCCCTGGTGATCACAGACTATTATATGCTTGCAGTGATGGCTTATGACCGCTATGTGGCCATCTGCAAGCCTTTGTTATATGGGAGCAAAATGTCCAGATGTGTCTGCCTCTGTCTCGTTGCAGCTCCTTACGTTTACGGCTTCGCAAACGGTCTGGCACAAACCATCCTGATGCTTCGTCTGTCCTTCTGCGGGCCCAACGAGATCAACCATTTTTACTGTGCAGACCCCCCTCTCATGGTCCTCGCCTGCTCGGACACCTACGTCAAAGAAACTGCCATGTTCGTGGTGGCTGGTTCCAACCTCACCTGCTCTCTCACCATCATCCTCATCTCCTACATGTTCATCTTCACAGCCATCCTGCGCATCCGCTCCGCTGAGGGCAGGCACAAGGCCTTCTCCACCTGCGGCTCCCATCTGACGGCTGTCACCATCTTTTACGGGACGCTATTCTGCATGCATTTGAGGGCCCCATCTGAGACCTCTGTAGAACAGGGGAAAATCGTAGCTGTTTTCTATGTCTTTGTGAGTCCTATGTTAAACCCGTTGATCTACAGTCTGAGAAACAAAGATGTTAAAAGAGCAATAAGGGAAGTTATCCGAAAGAAACTGTTAAATAAGCTAGATAGTTTGGTCAGGTCAGGCTAGATAAAATGCTCAGGTCCACAAGCATTTTAAATTAACAAATAAATTTCTGTTACTAAGTATTTTTTGTCCTTCATTATTCGTGCATGTGATTTGGAAGTATGTGTCAACTTATTAAAGTTTACAGTGCCATCTCAGTGAATTGACAACAACAGCATAAACTCAAACACAAGACTAGAAGGCACTGTCATTACTCTATAAAATCAATAAAGAACAGATGAGCCCATCCATAGTACTCCTACTAGTGCAAATTTATAAAAGACAGACTTATCAATTGCTATGGAAATGACAATGCTTTTTATTTTTATAGTGCTTAATAACGTCCAAACTATTTTCCAGAAACTTGTCAACCATAATAGGTGAGTGTTTTTTTTTCTTTTTTCTTTTATACAAATTATATAACAATTAGGATCATTTGAATATGGCTCACATTATTACTTTAAAATGCATCTTTAGAATGATTTTATGGATCCAATAAAATCTTCTTTCATAAGGTTTTTGATGGAAATGTCACATTTCCTTTAGAGGGTTTTCTGTTTTTTTGCTTAGTTTGGTCTGAAAAGGACTCTTCGTTATGTAATATTCCATTACAGTCAAAATTTGTGTTTTCTTGACAATTTTAGACGTAAAAATTCTTTCTGTGTAGTTATTTGCTATTCATATGCCTTCTTTGGTGAAGTGTCTGTTCACAACTTAGACTTTCTTTTAATTGAATTGTTTATATTTTGATCAGTGAATTGTGAAGAATATTTATATTTTCTAAATACAAGTCATTCGTCAGAATTATTTCATGTGAATGGCCTATGGCCTTCTTATTCTGTAGTTTACCTTTTCATTGTCTCAGCATGTGTAAAACTCTTCTTTAAGGTAGTTTCATACATGTAGCTATATTCTGTATTCTCCAACCTTATTTGTTGCTATACAAATTAATTAACATTGCCTTTTTAATGTATGGGCATCTGACTGTGTGATCCCCTACTTATAATTAAGCTAGTTTTTCCTTATCTATAATAGCCAATTCATTACTCTTCATTTATCTATTCAGCTATTATTGAGCCAGTTTTCTTTACTATTAGAAAAGTCACTTTGTAAATCTTATGTTTTATTACAATGTTGGTTTATGTTAACATATATAAGAAAATACATAAATACATACATACACACAGACTTTAGGGCATAGTTTCTTCAAACTGAAAGCTACCATTCTGCTAAAGAAGAGATGAATCTTCAACAACCTTTATACAAAACAAGGGTCAGGAAATGTGAGGCGCCTGTATTATAATCTTGTAATATTTTTCATTTCATAGAAATATTTAAGCAATACTATTATATTTTAAAATTTTTATTAGTGGAAGGAATCAGAATAAATCATAAAATTTACATAGAGAAAACTTTAGACTTCAATTTCAGAAAAAAATATGGCAATGCTCAAATCTTCTCAAATTCATGTGATATACCAAATCTACATTTTGATTTTGATATGCCGCCATTTCATATTGACTGATTTCTTACACCATAAACCATTATTAGGGATACTAAGAAAACTAGGAATGACTCTCCTGTCCTGGTCAGTGTACACTTTGATTCATTTGATTGTATTGGTCTGGAACTATCTGTGCACTGAAACATAAAGACTAATGAAAGCATCTCTAATTTCCTTTTTCCTCTAACAAATACAGTGTCAAACAACATTAAAATATTCTTTATTCTATTTTTAGCCTTCCTCCTAAACCAGTAATTTTATAAATGATCCTGGTTGTCAGACCTGTCTTTGATTCTTGGCGTGTTAATGACATTAACTCTGTCGGGCAGAAAGATTCCAGCATAAATCCATAATGTCCATTTTCCAAAGGACCCTCAGCCCTGGCTGGTCCTCTGCTTCCTTCCTCTGATTATATCACTTTTCTGCTCTCCACCACAGTCCTTCAAAGCTTTCCTCTCCTCAGATCTCTTACCTATGACACCTTCTTACCCTGCACTCTTAATACCCTTATCCTAGTCTTTAAAGATAAAAACTGAAGACTTTGATGGGGATTCCCTTGTCTTTACTATGTTAAAAATACAAAACTTCGGCCGGGCACAGTGGCTCACACCTGTAATCCTAGCACTCTGGAAGGCCGAGGCAGATGGATTGCTCGAGGTCAGGAGTTCGAAACCAGCCTGAGCGAGACCCTGTCTCTACTGTAAATAGAAATAAATTAATTGGCTAACTAATATATAGAGAAAAAATTAGCCGTGCATGGTGGTTCATGCCTATAGTCCCAGCTACTCGGAGGCTGAGGCAGGAGAATCGCTTGAGCCCAAGAGTTTGAGATTGCTGTGAGTTAGGCTGACGCCATGGCACTCACTCTAGCCTGGGCAACAAAGCAAGACTCTGTCCCCTCCCCCAAAAAAATACAAAACTTGGCTACTCATGTTTTTCTCCTTCTGTATTATTGAAAGTAATGTCTAATTTCTCTATTTATGCTAAGATTTCATGAACAAGTATACCAAACAGTGTACACACATGTTACACAGGGATTTCATCTACAAAGGAGAATCTGGCTCCTCCAAGCATCAAATTAAGATTATGCCCTTGAGAAACAAAGAATATTTTAATTAGTTCTTTAGAATTTAAGTACTCTAGGGAATATAACTAAGAAATATATTATAAATCTTCTCACCTTGCTTTTATACAATATAGTGAGTCAACATTTAGAGGTAGGTCATGTTCTACATTTGTTTATTAAAAATGCATTTTTTGTGTATGAAAAAGTCTATCTGTATGTTAATATTTCATTGACTTTATAAAAATCAATTGTTGTATGTAATGCTTTCTGATGTGTATGTGAGAATTAAATAAGTAATGGCTTTAGGGTGTAATTTTTGAGGGGTAAGTTTTACAGTCATATCTTATTTTCACAAAGGACTGAGAGAAAGTGGCTGGGACTGGAAGCTTAATCCCCTTTTAAACATTATCTGTGGTAGCCTAAACAAACATTTTCATGAGTGGGCTAGTTGCACAAAAGTGGGAACCAAAAACATCCACACTCTTTCCCAAATAATGGAATTGTTTATCTACTGTTCAAATTCTATCTTTTCAGAAAAAGTCATCTCTGAATGTTGATCTAGAAGCATACACCTTTATTTTTTTATAGAACCTGCTTTTTATCTTATTATATTAACTTATTATATTAACTTATTATATTATGTATTTTTTCTATGTGTTTACTATGTTTCCTCTAATATAATGTATGCTTCATGAGAATGGGAAATTTGTTTACTGATGTAAGTCCAGAAATTGAAATGGAAAAACTATCACACTCCGCAGTACACATGAATATATGGGTGGATAAAATTATAAAGGGATAATACAATTTTTAATTCTGTACCTTTTTACCTGTATATCAAGAGATAAATTTCACTAATTTAATGTTCTTTCTCTGAATAATATTTATCCAGACAACTAAGAATTTTAAATGAACATGTAGTAATACATTTTATTTCAATTTGTATCTGAAACAATAGGATATCAGAAATGGGGAGGACCCCAGAGATTGAAATTACTTCATTTGTCCATTTAAATGATGCAAATAACCTGTTGCTTTTCACAGCTGATTTTCATTCAGTTGGGGTTTTTTGTTTCCTCACAAAGTTAGAAAAAATTACCAAAGTGGAATTCCCCAAGAAGACAGATACAAATGTATGCATATATGGATGTGTATCCATATGAGTGTGTGTATATAAATATGTGTCTATACATATTTATATACACACACGTGTGTGTGTGTGAAAGAGAGAGAGATAGAGCACGTGTGTGTGCATGTGTGTGTGTGCTAGAAACAAAGAGAGAACATAAATATAGGGTGAAAATATTAGAGGGACATTCTGATGTGTTTATTGAAAAGAGAAGAGTAATTGTACCATAGATGAATAAATGAATGAGTGAATGATCCATGGATGGAATAAATTCAGAATCTGATTCAGACAGAAATCCTCACATACAGTCTTTGTCACTTTCAATTTTAAAGGGATAAGAAGATGTTCTCCCCAAACCACACTATAATGACAGAATTTATTCTCTTGGGACTCACAGACGACCCTGTGCTAGAGAGGATCCTCTTTGGGGTATTTCTGGTTGTCTACCTAATCACGCTGTCAGGGAATCTGTGCATGATCCTGCTGATCCAGACCAATTCCCACCTCCAAACTCCCATGTATTTCTTCCTTGGCCACCTCTCCTTTGTAGACATTTGCTATTCCTCCAATATTACCCCAAATATGCTGTACAATTTCCTCTCAGACCAGAAGACCATCTCCTACGCTGGATGCTTCACACAGTGCCTTCTCTTCATTGCACTAGTGATCACTTAGTTTTACATCCTCGCTGCAATGGCACTGGACCGCTACGTAGCCATTTGCAGCCCCCTACATTACAGTTCCAGGATGTCCAAGAACGTGTGTAGCTCTCTGGTCACAGTCACTTATATATGTGGCTTCCTTAATGGGCTCTCACAGGCACTGCTGACATTTCACTTATCCTTCTGTGGCTCTCTTGAAATCAATCATTTCTACTGCGCTGACCCTCCCCTTATAATGTTGGCCTGCTCTGACACCTATGTCAAAAAGATGGCGATGTTTGTTGTTGCTGGATTTACTCTCTCAAGCTCTCTCTTCATCATTCTTCTGTCCTATCTTTTCATTTTTGTGGCTATCCTGACGATGCGTTCTGCTGAAGGCAGGCACAAAGCCTTTTCCACTTGCGGGTCCCACCTGACGGTAGTCACTCTATTTTACGGAACCCTCTTTTGCATGTACTTAAGGCCTCCATCAGAGAAGTCTGTAGAGGAGTCCAAAATAATTGCAGTCTTTTACACTTTCTTAAGCCCAATGCTGAACCCATTGATCTACAGCCTAAGGAATAAAGATGTAATCCTTGCCTTGCAACAAATGACTAGGGAAATATTCTTTCATAAAATTGCAATTTAGACATCATTTGTAATCACTATGGGATGCCTGGAATA